GCTTGGAGTGTGGACCAATGCGCTCAAACACATGAACTTCAGGACTCTCAACATCCTCAACATCAGTGATACTAGAGTCAACAAAATTTATATCCTCAAGGTCCTTGGCTGGCTCTAGTCTCACTTCTTCAACATTGACATCCTCAAATTGTGGTTGGCTGGGTTGTTGATGTTCTACTCTGACCTCCCCAATTAACACCTCAAATTCATGCTCTTTTTGGCTACTATCCTCAATATTGGCTTGTTGAGCATTAAAAGCTCCAACCACTTGACTCAATTGAGCCTCCAACTTGCGAATAGTGGCATCTTGCCTTTCTATGTGCAATTGTTTTTCAATGTTTGGTTCTAGAAGGCACTTTAACATATCCTTGATCTCCTTCAAGTCCGCATTCCCAGGTTCTTTGTTCCTATTAACTTCATAAGAAAAGGTAGAACCATCATAGTAAGTGGTTGGGGGAAAATAAAAAATATAAGCACAACCATGAAGGTGACCATTTTTACCACCACACACATCACACACATTCCACAAATAAGATTGAGTTGGTGCACATAACTCGCTCTTAGGAACGTTTTGAAAATTTTGCCACGGGTGGTTTCCTTCACAATATGTATGGAGATCAATAGTAGAATTATCTACACCTAAATTCCCATAATTCCAAGATGCCATGTTTCTCAAATCGATAGTTATATTAAAAAAATACAAAAAAAACAAAACAAAATAAAAGTTCAAACTCATAACCTAGCAATATATACAGCTACAACTACACCGTTAGTTCCCCGGCAACGGCGCCAAAATTTGATCACGCCCAACTCTAGTCCTAAAAAGGATAAGCGGTCGTTGCAAATATAATCCGGCCTAAAAGTCCGGAGTCGAATCCCACAGAGAACTAAGACTTAGCTGTATCTGTTTAATATCACCAAGAAGACAAGATTTTAAAATAAATAAATAGCTGAAAACTAACTATGCTTGAATTGTAAACAATTAGAATAAAGGTCTAAGGTAATGGTTTCCCCCATTGTTGATTTCCTTGGTTGTATGTTTCTTATAGCGTTGACTTAGTTGCCTCTATCAATCATGAACTCTCCAGCTATCATAAATCTCTCTCAAGCAATTATGATAATTTACTAGACGCACTCTCTCAAGCTACGCTAGCTAGATTCGCATTACAGTTCACTTAGATCGCACCCGGGGTATCGTTATCTCTAATCCAACCTCTAAACCCTCGGTTATGACTCTCGCCTATACTCCGGGAGTGATGTTGTTCAAACAACTACCTAAATATGCACTCTCTCTCAAGCAGATACATAATAAATAGGAACGGCTAATTAAGATCCTTCAATTAACCACAATCAAAACATAGTTGAACAAATAGAGATTAAACTAATTCAAATCTATATTACTTATAACAACCAATTCATCCCCAACGGGTTTTACCAAAATCTTAGATTAGAAAAGTTAGCTACTCATGAAAATAACAAAAATCACAAACGAATTCATATTCAAAGGTAAAAGAACAAAGAAGAAGATTAAAGATTGATGCCCAATGATCCTCCTTGCCTCTTGCCCCCAAGGGTGTTGTCTAACCCTAAAGTAGTGTCTCCCCCCCCCCCCGTTCAAAATAGGTTTAGGACCCCTTTTATACAAGTTGGAATAGTGTAGGACCGAAATAACCTTGTCCCGGACGAAATAGGACTTCTTTTTGACGCCTGGAGCGGCGCGTCCGCGGCCAAAACGCGGTAGGACCGCGGCCAGACAAGCTCTCTGATTTTCTGCCGCGGTCAGTTCCGTGGTCGCGGTTTCGACCGCATTTTTCACCCTGTTCCGTTTGGAATTTAGAAAAACGTAAAACATGAAAGTTTTAGACCTTTGAGTTAGCTTTCCAACAATATATTGTGGAGCCCAAATGGAGTTCTGAGAAAAAAGTTATGTGCATTTTACTAGACAGTGTTCAATATGCCTACTCGAGTCTTCGTTTGTTCTCAACTATCAAATTTGAACCCCGAACACGATCCCGGCTTAATTCCTTGAGCTTTTACTCAGACTTCAAAGCTTCAAATCACTTAAATTCATTCCATAACATCTATATAGCTCGGAATCACACCTACAAGGCATAAAACACACAATTAGTGCAAAACACTAGCGATTAAAGCGCAAACTCAACTAAAGTGCAGTAAATTAGAGTGTAATAAGCGACTAAAATACGTAATTATAGCCTATCATCATGTATGGAGGGCTCAAAAGGTGTTGATTGCCAGATTCTTGAAGAATAGTTTTAAGACCGATGTATTCACCGCCTCCATCAGTGTAAAGTGTACCAATTTTAGTGGAGAAGTAATTCTCAACAACTTTCTTAAAATTGATAAAGGTTTGCGAGTGACATCCGATTTGTGCTTAAGAGGAAATAACCATGTGTATTTGGTGAAATGATCAACAAAAATGACATAAAAACGAAAATTATCAAATGATGTAATAGGAGCTGGACCCCAAACATCTGAGTAAATTATTTCAAATGGTCGATGACTAACAATAGATATTGCACCAAATGGAAGTTGGTGACTTTTATTACAAAAGGCAAGAATTGCAGAATGTAAAAGAGTTACTAAGGGACACGGGAAGCTTAAAAAAAGAAGAGATGAAGCTCTTGGTGATACGTGGCTACGGATGGCCAAGTCTTACATGCCAGAGATATAAGGTAGGAGACTGGGAAGCGACAAAGTGAGCTTGATGTGAGAGACTGGTGGATCTACTAGGCAGCTTAGTTGTTGGCCATTCATAGAGGTCATTGTTTCTCCCTCCTTGAAGTAGTGCTGCCCCCGTGTTCAAATCCTTAACAACATAAGAGTAAGGAAAAATTCAATAGAAGTTAGATTTTGACGACAAAATTGTGCAATAGAGATTATATTGTGTCTTATTTTTGGTGAACATAAGACATGATGAAGAGAAAAGGAATGAACAAATGAAGTAGAATGAAAAGTTGTTTGACCAATATGCGAAATTGGGATACTGTTACCATCTCATATGATGATCTTATCATTGCATGAGATATCAGTGACAGAAGTGAGGTTGGACAGATTGTCTGTTATGTGATGTGATGCTCCGGAATCCATAACCCAAGGAGTTCCATTGTTGTTGTAGGAGCGAGTTTGCTTGTGCTTCATATTTGTTGTGCGATTGAGAGCGACAAACCTTGGCTATGTGAGCATATTTGTCACACAATTGACATTGAACACGTTGTTGGTTGGATTGATGGGAACCGAAGGACCTAGAGTTATTGTTAGGTGGTCCAGGGTAGTGACGATTGTTAAAAGAGTTATTGGGTCCTCCTTGCTGCTGGTTGCTACAGCGTTGTTGGGTATTGTTGGCTGCGTTGTTGTAGTTGCGCCTGAAGGAGTTTTGGTTTGATGGGGCTCGTTGATTTAATTGAGCAGTGATCAAGGGTGTATTGGTTTTTGGTTATGAATGTTGGAGAAAAACCTCGTGGGCTAGGAGCTTGTCATACAATTCCTCAAAGGATATTGGATTATCTCGAGCACGGATGGCTGCTGAGATTTCTTTGAATTCCGATCCAAAACCGCTGAGTTTTTTTATGACGAGCTCTTCATTGGTCAATGGAGACCCTCTGGATGCAAGTTCATCGGCAACTGATTTGATCTCTTTTATGTACTCAGCTACTGTACGAGATTCTTTTCGAAGATTGGAAAGGATGTCGTGGAGGCCAAAGATTCTTGATCGTGATCTGTTTGCAAATGTTGTTTGGAGTATTTCCTAGGCTTGCTTAGCAGTAGATGCTTGGGCTATCATTGGGGCAATGGAATGTTCAACAGATGCTATGATAGCATTGCGAACTAAGTTGTCTTGGCGGAGCCAGAGCTTTAAGTTGGGATTGATCAATTGCTTATCATTTTCTGTGTAGTATTCAACGGGACAACTATAGGAGCCGTTAATAAATCCCACTAGATCGTAGCCGAATAGAAGAGTTTTGACTTGGCTTGCCATGTTGAATAGTTGGTGCTTCTTGCTAGTTTCAAAGATAGTTGGGAAGCAGGGTTGAAAGATATTAATTGAGATGGTTGAACTATGGAGTTATGACCATAGACACGTGATGGAGTGGAATTGGCTGTTGATGATGAGGAATTGTTTCCCGTCATTGTGAAACTTAGAGCAGATTACTAACTCGTTGGAGTGTCAATTGCCCTGATACCATAAAAGCACAAGAGTTCTGATGGAACTGTTATATATTTACTGAGATCAATTATTTATAATACAAGAGTACAATGAGCTTGGGAGAATAAGAGTCTACAAAGATAAGATACAATCTATAAAGATAAGTATTTGAGTTCAAAGGGAATTATCCATTTGAGAAGTTGTTAGCTGTGATTATCTTCTATAGCCACAAGAAAATTAAAAAAAAAAACCACCTCTAAAAAGATAGTTCTCGTTAAATCTAACAATAAGAGTTTCTTAAATATTTAATAGATATCAAAAGTATTTATTTTTTGCCAACTTAAAGAATTAAAGATACTCAAAAACAAATATTCAGGGGTCGTTTGGTAGGGTGCATAAGAATAGTGCAGAATAAGGTTTATTAGTAATGCATGGGTTAGTAATACAAGCATTATTTAGATATTATATTTTATCTACTATTTGGTGTGGTGTATTAAAAATATAATGCGTTGCATAATTTTTAAGAAAAATATAGTTACAAAAATGCCCTCCATATTCTCTAGCTTTAAGGGACTTTAAGGACAATTTTGTCTTTAACTATACTAATGCATGCATTTAATAGCCTTGGTATTATTAATGTCATGATTTTCTATATAATACCAAATATGATGTACACAGGTAGAAAAAATGTACCAAACAAGGTATTACTAATGCACAAAGCTAATGCTTGCATTATTTTTTCTAATACCTCCTGCCAAACAACCCTTAAAGGACTATTTTAGACCTACTCACAAACATAAGGGACCATTTGAGTTAAGAACTCGATAAATACAAACGCCATTGCTGACGCGTCAATTTCACAACATTTTCTCTGCTGTTCCCCCAATACAATTTATTCGCTGCGCCGTGCGCCTTTCACTTTCTCTGCAAATTGACTGCTGCTGGAGTTAAACCTCATTTTCCATGGTAACAACAGAGTCTCATTTTTTCAAAATTAAATGCATTATTTGGAATTAGTGGGTTCAGAATACTTACTACTATTATTTTGTTGCAGTTTGTACAAGTGCACTATAAATTATTGTTACTTTTTTTTAATTGAAAAAAAATTTAATTATATACCTGGATCAAATTGATAGCTGTGGGTGGAGATTGTACCCACGGCTCTCTTACTACTGTACCCACTCCTATTTTATAGCAGTGGATACGAATTCAGTATTTTTCATTTTCATGTAATGTTAATTTCATCTTGACCTGCTTTTTTTTTTTTTTTTTTGGTGTGTGTGTGTGCATTTATTTTTCGTTAGGGTTGAATTGCTATTAGCTTTCAGCGGCTTGCTATTCTTCGATTCTGTTACAGGGTAACTGTTTGGGTGAATTTACCAGTTTAACAACTACAAGAACAAATTTTAATTTTATTTCCTAGAAGTTTCTAGTGATTTTATGAATGCTGGGTGTTTTAGGAGTAGTGGTGGCAAATGGGCAGGTCGGGTCAGATGTGGGCGGGTTGAAATTGTGTAGTGTAAAAACGGATAAGTTATCTGACCCGACCCATATTTAATACGGTTAAAAAAGGGGTTAACTGGTGGATAATATGGATATCCATATTATTCATGACTTCTTGAATATGATCACTAGTTATCCATTGGTTATCTATTTTAAATGGATAATATGGTTCTTATCCATATTTGACCCGTTTTTTAAAAATTTATTATCTAACCCTTTTTTTAATGGATAATATGGGTGGATAACTGTTTTCTTTTAACCATTTTGCCGCCACTATTTAGGAGGGTTGTTGTGCATGAATTATCATGTTCTTTTTGCTCTCGTTTAATAGTATTTCTTTTTGTCTTTATAAAGGTGATGTTGGAGCTAGCTTGTGTACATCTCGACTAATCCACAGATTACCTGTTACCTCCCATCAGCGGAGGTACTGGGTAATTCTGCTCACTAAAGCTTACACAGATTGAAAGAGTTGGCCTAGTGTCGACTCCACGGGATTTGTACGACCAAAGGTTATTACTCAAAACTCTTAGCCACTAGGTCACTGCCTAGGGGGTTATTCTTCTTTAATACCGTGGTTTCAGTTGTGGCAATTCGACTTCTTACAGAGTTTCTAACATTGAAAACCAAATGCCTTGAAGTTGCTTTTTCATGTGTGTGGATGAAAGTTTGGATTTAGTTTCGAGAAATGCTCGTAAAGAATATATTTTTCTTATGATCCTCTATGTTGGTAATGTGTTAGTTTCAGTCTTTCAGAGCATATTAGTATTTATGGCTATTCATGAGTTAGTTACATTATGCGTAGGCGGATCAGTATTTGAACTTTATGCGTTTGAGTTAGGGATTCTATCACAATGTTGGGTTCAAAATCTATAATTTGTGCTTATCTAGTGAATTTTTGACACAAATATAGGGTCTAAGCCAAAGGTAAGAACCATGTAAAATTGGACTATCAAACCCTCTATTCTAGGTCCATCCCAGAAATTATAGTTGTAGTTTAATCATATATATTTTTGTAACTCTTTACTCTTCTTAAGGCTACTAATCCAGTTACATGCATACTTATTATCCACTATCAAATCTATCGCCCTCCCTCCCACTTTACATGATAGTGTTTAGTTGGCACGAAGTTTAAGAAGGAAAGAAAGACTTTTGAAACTTGTGATTTAAAACAAGCAATACAAATTTTTGTTGGTATAAATCATCACATTAAGGGTAAAATGAGTATTTTAAAGTTAAATTGTTACTACATATAGAAATGTATCGTTCTTTTTGAGACTGATTAAAAAGGGAAGAGTTTCACATAAAGTGGGACAGAAGGAGTATTATTTACTACCCTATTTGTTTGTCTTCCATCCCTTATTATCTGAACTACCAACTAACACCACCATAATATCACTAAATCATGAATAATTACAAATACTAATATGCTCTAAAACTAACATATACTCCCTCAATCCCAATTTATGTGATGTACTTTCCTTATTAGTCATCCCAAAAAGAAAGGCTACCTTTCTGCATTTAGAAACAATAATTTTAAACTTCTCATTTTACCCGAAACGAGATGATTTAGGCATTTAGCCACACAAATATCTATGGGTTGGCTTAGACCACAAGTCTGAAAAATCTTTGTGCCTAGTCATACAACATACATAATGGGACGGAGGTTGTAATAAATTTGTTTAGATTTTAGTGTTGTCTGTTTGTGCTTGTAACCACTTTTTTAAGAAGTTAAGAGAAGCTCGCAGTATTTCAGCCTTCTTTATATGCCAACTTCTAGTACTTTTTATTTTTATTTTGCATATATCGGTCTAGGATGAGCTTAAATGGAGCGACACGGTCAGTGAGGATTCATATAGCCAACCACAACTTGTTTGGGATTGTGGCATAGTTGTTGTTGTTGAAGAATCTTCAGCCATCTAAGCAATCTTTCTATGTGCACCGGATGATGTAAACAGTTCCCCACTTAATCAGATTCCTCGAAAGTTGTAATCTTTCATGTTTGAAATTCTTAACTAGCTGTACTTGTAAATATACATATTTTCTCTCTTGTAGGACTTACTTTGATGCTATATCTTTTACAGGAGTGGCATAAAGCCTTAGATGTCTTGGACTAATTTAGTTTTTAAATACTCTTTTGGTCCTAGTGTTGAATTTTCAAAAGCCAGCTGATTGAGGAAACATCCCATCAGCTTTATGCGATTTTCTTACCGACTTACCTTGGGAAATCATTGTCTGTATGTTTGGATTAGTTATTATATTTGGGTATTCAAAGCCTCTGTTACGTGGGTCTTTGGTGTTACTGCTGTGTAATTCTTGTTGGCTATCTAGTACTTTGTATCTTGTCCCCTTCTCTAGCAGATGATGTCTTGGAAAATGCAGGCTCAATTTCAAGCTGCTATCTTAAATCAGCTTCGATAAGCAATGCCTCCAAACTCTAGGGTCGATTGTGCCTTTCGTGCTATGAAAGCTATCGGGATTTCTGGAGACAAGGTGAAGCCAGTGTTGAAGAAACTTTTAAAACTGTATAATAAAAATTGGGACCTTATAGAAGAGGAGAACTATAGGGTCCTTGCAGATGCGATATTTGAAAACGAGGAATCAAAGGTGCTAATTTCCTTCATTTAATACACTTCTGTTTTTCTTCCTTTTGAATGAGTACTCCCTCCTAGGGGCGGATTTATAGGAAAAAATATGGGGCACATAAACCCATGGTCTCTTTGCAAAATTAGATATTTTATGTATATATTTTCTAAAATTGGTATATTATTAACTCTTGGCACCCATGCTCCAAGAAGGGTGAATGGTGCACTTGGTTTAAGGTTGGGTTAATTACTAAGAGTAATAGAGATCAATTCCCACTTAATACATTTTCTCCTCATTTTTTTAGTAGTGCACCCATGTACTAGAAATCTTAGATCTGCCTCTGCTCCCTCAGTTTCATTTTATTTTATGTGAGTGTGTTTGACTAGGCATGTAGTTTAAGAAAGAAAGGAAGACTTTTTGGACTTGTAGTCTTAAACATGCCAGGACAGTTCTGTGGTTATAGAAGCGTGTGATTAGGAGTAAAATGGGAAGTTTGAAATTAAATTGTTTCCAAACGTACAAAGAGTATCGTTCTTTTGGAACATACAAAAAAGAAAAGAGTGCCACGTAAAAATGGAATAGAGAGTACTTTGTTTTCAGTTTTCTGCCATCTCTTTCATATGAGCTTTTTTTTGCTGACATGCTTTCTTTCATTTCAGGAAACAGAAAATAAAAAGTCATCCGAGAATCCCGAAGTATTGAATTACTTTAATGTTCTTACTTTCTGGCTACGGTCTTCCATAATATGCCGTTTTTCTCGAATCTTTCTACTCACCTTTACTTCCTTTCACTTTTTGATTTCGTTCAGCAAGAGGAGCTGGTTCAAGATGAGCCTGAACCACCTCTAAAAAGGCAGCGGTTAAAAAATCAATTAAGTCAACCATATGATTCTCCTGAATCTCATGTGCAAAACCAGCCACTGGGTGTTCTAGATTCCTCTCAATCCATGGGCGATGAGTCACAGGCTGGATCTTGTCCATCATTTGGTAGAAACAAAGGAAAGCAACCTATTTCATCCAATTCTTTAGTACCACAGGGAGGATCTCCTTTATCTCAGCCTTCTAGCATAGACAAGAGCCTTCCAGTTTCTAGGAGAGCTGGATCTATTTCTGGTAATGGAATCCCAGTGTCTCCTACGATGAAATCCAATGCTAACCATGCTTTTATCAAACCTAAGGATGAGCCGATCACTGATGACCTGCCACATTTTGAAGTTCCTCTTGCCGTCATCCGTCCAGGTAGAGGGTATCTCATTTCCGTTTATGGTTCAATCTATTAATTATAGAACAAGTGCTGAAAAGGACTCTCTTATGTGTGCTCTTGACATTGGCAAAGTTTTAAAAATGGAATGAAATGTTAGGTTGTTGATAATTTTGACACCTCCTTTAACAACTAGATCGCTTCGCTTTGCAAATTTTGCATTCACAGCATTTTAATCCTATTGACTTTAAGGAAGAGTGTTTCTGGATTTATATAGACTTTTAAGGAAGTGTGTTTCTGGATTTATATAGACTTTTAAGGAAGTGTGTTTCTGGATTTATGTAGAGTTTTAAGGAAGTGTGTTTCAGGATCTCAAACCAAATTGAGCTTTTCCTGATTCTTCCACTGAATTTCAAATTTCTTATTTGCCTATTCAACTTTCAAGAATTGGCTAGATTATCCATTTCCATCTGATCTCGTCTCCAATTGTACAGAAAGTAGTTCAAGCTATATTAGAGAAACACGAAAAGTTGTGCTTGAGTTGCAGTTAACCTTTGTGATTATGAGGGATGTATCCTTGATCACTATGATTATTACTTTCTGTTTGTCTTTTAACTTCAGTGACAAGAGTGGGTTGCTCTAGTGGTGAGCACCCTCCACTTCCAACCGAGAGGTTGTGAGTTCGAGTCACCCCAAGAGCAAGGTGGGAAGTTCTTGGAGGGAGGGATGCCGAGGGTCTATCGGAAACAGCCTCTCTACCCAAGGGTAGGGGTAAGGTCTGTGTACACACTACCCTCCCCAGACCCCACTGGTGGGATTATACTGGGTTGTTGTTGTTGTTTTAACTTCAGTACAAGACCTATGAGGTGTGTCCTTTTCTTCTCTTAGAGTATGTAATCTGAATTTGCAGGTTCAGCAAGTAAAGGTGAGACATTGCCAAATGTCGTCGACTCAGATACAAATGATGGAATTCCACTTTGTCAAGGAGTACCTAACGGCAAGCCTGAAACAAGCACCGTTAAATCTCCAACCGGCCTGGAGATAGCTTCCTCACTATCTGGAGAAGTGAAAATTATCTTGAAGTGTGGCCCAGTTCTTGGAAGATCAGATTTCTACATGCCTACTCTCGATGAAGTGGTGAAGTTAATGGAGGATAAATATCTCAAACAATACAAAGAACTTGATCCTAATTTTTCGGTGATGAAAGTCATGGCAGATGTTTGTCAGTGTTTCTGGGAAATGGGCACTGAATCACCAAATAAATAATCGACTAAATGAAGTCCTCATTAAGTTAAGGAAAATTTACTAGGAAGCATGCAGAAGGAGAAATGAGACTGGTTCAGTAAGCAGGTTTACATTTAGCTTACAACATTTTGTGTTAAGCTCAATTTGAGCTTAACAACATCTTCGTAAATTCTGCGTTTTTTCTTTTCTTCTTCGTGTTCTTTTTCTGTGTATCCGTTATTGCAGGTGACGCTGTTAAGAACCTTCTTGCCATTTTAATATGAAGAAAAGGTTGGAAAAGTTGAAAATGAAGGCATAATTCACCTAATTATCTGGTTTTGTCTTGTAAAAAAGACCTCTGTCAGCTGTGCATACCTTTTTTTAAGTAGATTTAGAGTACTTCTCGAATAATATATTGTTTGACCATACAAAGGCTAATACTTTAGGGAGTAACATGACTGATTTTTGAGATTTTTGGACTAACAGTTTTGGGAGTAACATGACTTAAACAAATGCTGTAATAGTTCAGGAATGATATGACTGTAATTTTAGAGGCGCGAAAGCGAAAGCCTATAGGTTTGCTCTTTTCGAGGCTTTTGCTGATGTCTGCGGACTTTCTTATGTTGCCGTCAACCGCTACGTCCCGGTTCATAAATTTTATTTCGATTCTGTTTTGGAGTACACGCGAAACGTGCTTCTATAACTGGAAATCCGTCTTTACATTGGATGGTTTGGTATTTTGACGATACCTACTTATTGATTTCTCCCTTTTTAGGGAAAGCATCCCATAAAATTTGATGGGATAAATCATAAATATCAAATAAAACCCCTTGAATTTTTCTGTATTTTCCTTTTCCCTTTAGGATATGTATTTTTTTCTCTTAGGGTGTGTTTGGTATGAAGGAAAACATTTTCCGGAAAATATTTTTTAATTTTTTCATGTTTGGTTGGCTTAAATATTTTGGAAAATATTTTCCTTATCAATTCATTTTCCTCCAATTGGAGGAAAATGTTTTCCTTATCAAGAGAAGGAAAACATTTTCCAAAACTCCTTCACAACATTCCCCACCCTCACCAACCCCCAACCCCCTTCTCTCCCAAAAAAAGTTTTTTTTTTTTTTAAATTCAGTTTTTCTGTTACCAGCCACCCTA